TTTTACCGATCGTTTAGCCGCAGAAATTCAATGTGCCGCAGACGGAAATGTTTACGGAAATCACGGAGGAATATTGCTGATTAAACCTTGGCCTGACACAGGACTCTTTTGATTGAGTGATGGCTGTCACTTAAAAGCTCATTCCACATCTCTATCATTTGCTCAGTGATTAAAAATAACATTCCCTAATAGCCTTCCCCATAATGCCTGGGCTCCTGACCAAGTGAAGGTAGTGTGACTTGGCAACTGACTTGCACATTGTCCAGTTGATGCTTGAATTCATCATGTGGTACAGGTTTGAACATACTCTCATTGCAGAGAATCCTGACTAATGCAGGTGGCAAGTTCACAGGTCCATCCTTGGTGTTGTACTCCTCCCAGTTATCTATGTGAGGTTTCTTTGTAACAGGCATTTCCTCTGATCATGAACAAAAAGAAATAAAGAACATCAGTGATATGTGGAAGTGTTTTAATAAAGGACAAATTCAAACAAAAAAAATTAGGGAAAATGATTGTGCATACCAACAGAGTTGGTGCAATCAATGACAATGAGCATAATGTTTAGCAACTAGCAGCAGTAGCAGCAAGAATAATCATTACAAAATGGCAAATCAAATAAATTGTGGCAATGAATAAATTTAGAGAGAAACAAGAAACAAAATAGTGGTGTGACCGACGGATGTGGATGTTACCCACCGTCAGCTAATGGGCGATGTGATGCGGATGGAATTGTAGTGAGCACGGATGGATGGAATGAATAAGTATAAGTGGATGGGTCGGGTGGCGCAGTAACGATGCAGCAAATGCCATTGCGGCAAGCGTATCCAGAGTTAAATACATCGAGTGCGTAAACGTTACTCACCCCTTGCTAAAGCCAGTAAAAAACCCTTTTTGTCGTCATCCGCAATATTGGGAATTGACAGATATTGTGCAGCTTTATCTTTCGAGAATTCTTTGCAAAGTAAACACTAAGTGAAATTCGTTGCTGTGCATCCGGGAAAAGCTTGCTGATCTCTTCATACACAATGTTAATGTCGCCGTCTTCTGTAAATTAGAAAATGATTTAGTGTGTTGCATAAATTGAAGCGTGCAAAGCTGACTATTGCCATCAGATCAAGCCCAAATCTCTCGCATTAATACCGTACCTGAATCACTCATTTTCTTCTTTTTGCAGGTTTTCGTCCAAGTGATTTGTCGCTAGAATCTGTCGCTTTTCTTTGTCCTGTTGTTGACATTGTACGAGATTTAAGTGATCATCAGCTATGTAGAAGAATGAAAAGCAATGTCAAAATCGTCCTGGAAGACGCGACCGTGCGAATGTTTTCGTTTGCCCCGACACAGCCTACACGTGAACCTACTTCGGTGAATGACCTGGTGGCTTTGATAGGATAATAGGTCGTAGAATGTTGAATGGTGAATTGAGGTTGATACTGGCGAAGAAGTAGTTGACAAACAAAAACGTCACTTATATCGGGGTTACTCCAGTCAGGCATTATACCATATTTGTCCGACGATGATCACACCTTAATAAGCAAGGAACTATTCGAGATTAATCTTTCGATTTGTTCCACAATAAAATCGTTATCAGTCGCTATAGACACTACAAGAGAATTGATGGTATTAGTAGAAGATAAATTTTCTCCAGACAGTAAATTAAGAATCTGAGAAAGGTAAATATTTAACATTATTAAAAAAAACTATTAATAAGATAAACAACTTACCTTTCGAGATTAATTTATTACAAGAATTTTATGACGACAATATCAGGCATTTTTAATATTGTTTCAGTTGATACTCATTTATTGTATGTCATATCCTTATTTTTTACAACTTTAGTTATTCAAGATTCTTCATTGATGACTTCTTGCATTTGAGGGCTGACATCAAAAAGTTCTTCGTACTGTAACCTATTAAGAGAGTAAGCCCAGGGTGAATCAGTATGTTGAATTATTGTTTCGCGATGTCATATTAAAAGCAACAAAACTGGTAACAATATATGATAAGTCATGATATTAAATCCACAGTCGAGATAGTTCTTTTGTCCTCTCTGTTCATTGTCAAATGCAAGAAATAGAAATCCTTCAGGTAAAGCCTCTTTGTGTGCCGATAGATTTTCCAGCCAACGTTGAAATCGCATTTGATTGTTCAGATCTATTATTAACTGCGATTTCTGTTGACTTTCTAGCCGAACAAGCTCCAAAAGTCTTCTAGTTTGTTCGAGCGCTTGCATCTGAATCAAGTCGAGACCATTTATTTTCTTGATTAGATGCTGACAAAACTTATTAGTAGCAATAACTTGGTTATAATGTTTCTCACAAATCGCATACTAATATGAAGAGATATTTTAATCCCTTATCTAGATTAGTAACAGATGTTGAAAAATATTAGAGGAAAAGAACAATGCCACTAACGCATAATTGGTAAATTACTGTAATAGTAAATTCACTATAATCAATTTACTCGATTTGGCCAATTGAAATATATGTCACACATGAGGGATCCCTAAACTCAATCCTTTATAGTTCTTGCTAAAAGTAGTAAATACACACCCTCCTACATGGAAGTAGATTGATAAAAACAGCTTTAGCGAGCACCTCGTTGTGAATAAAAAAAATAGTTTCATTTTCTTCGTGTGTACCAGCGTTTTAATGTTTTTTCGGCATTAGAGTATCAATTGTAAGGGAGTCCACAGCTTTTTGTCTATGCGGTGAGTTTCTACAATATTGCATTGTCTATCGGCAAGCAAATCTTTTTACAATCGATTATACAGTTACATGGCTAATTCTATATACTTAATACTCGTAATTATGCTATACCCGTAATTATGCTATATTTTCGGCTTCTTCGCCCTCTCCTACATTCACGCTCACCCCACCATTATTCTTCTTGGGCTTAATATAAATATGACATTTGTGTGCATGGCGATACCATAACATATAACTCTTTCGCTTTCTACTCGTCATTGGAACCCACTTATTGCACTGATGACAGAGACCTTCGGTCGTATCAATCAGTGTGGAGCGGGTGTTAATTGGAGCTAGAAAGGGACCACCAGATGTAGAGGATATACCGTGGAAAAATTGTTTATGATACCTTTTGATTTGGTAAAGACGAGAAAGAGTGGTAAGATGTCGCGCAAGGATCAAAATTAGCTAAATCGAACGGTTAACCATCGTAAAATATCGTTCCCTCTTATCAAACTTTCCCACTATCACTACAACTACACAAATTCTTCCATAACATACCAAAATGCACTGTTCTTCAACTGCAACCATTTCCCAGGATCACAAATTTCACATAAACCTTCTTTCAAACGGCCCGTATATCTCACCCATTGAGGAGTATACATGTCTCCTGGATGATGGAGCAGTTGCTTGCGTGGTTGGGCGTCTGTCAATGGTGCCGTTGGTGTTGTTTCCGATGGTGTCTTTGAGGAGTTTGTAACAGAAGTAGGAGGAGAGCATGGAATGGTAGGGAGTGACGGTGTGGGTGATGTCAGTAGTGAAGATGCTATTGACGTGTTAAAGAAATGGAAAAGAGGAATTAGCATTATGACGTTTAAGAGGCGATGAAAAGTATGTAGCGGCGGAAACAGACAGACGTGCTAGAAAGAGGGTGTGTGTATGCTTACCGAGCAAACGTAGCATGTCACGGTATAAGTTTATTGATGGAGAATCTCCCTCTACGTGACTGTACGAAATACAATTACTTAAGGCGTTATTATCCGCAACATCATTTATGCCTAATTGGTTAAACAGCTCATCCCACTTCAGTTTTTGCAACTCGGACTTATTCACATCACTTTCACCATTCAAATGCTCATATTCGCCTTTCTCCTTTCTCGAAAACTCTTCGTCTTCCTCTTGTTTATCCTCATCTTTGCCCTCAGTCTTTCCATCAAGACAAATTTTGTCTGTTTCATCTGTGATACTATGAGCAAGTGATACGCTTAAATCGTTGTCTACATGGTCAAAGAATATTTGAGATGTGAGACAGTCCCCGTAAGAAAAAGAAGAGGCGGAAGGAGGTGATGTAACATTTGAAGAAAGTGACGTTTGTGTTTTGCTAAGCATTGCGTGCTTATGCTCAAATAGAGTTGGAGTCTGCAATGAATTCGATCCTTCTTGAGAGTTGAGCATTTCGGCCTGAATATTGTTTTCTTGAAATGATGGCTGTTTTTGTTGTTCTAGCGCGTTGTACAATCCTTCCTCAAATTTCTTGTCTTCAACCAATGTTACTTTTTGCAAGCGGTTGTTTGTTTCTACGTGTCCAGACCTTTTTCTCTTTAATTCTTGTCTTCCATTTTTATCTATTCCGTTCAACGACTGCTGTGTTTGTTGTGACGCGAGACTTAATGGATTAAATAGGGCTGAAGATGCAGTTTTTATTAGAGGTGACATGAGGATGGTGTTGGCGGGTGTGTTAAGGAAACTGTCTGATATTATTGAGGAAGAATTAATTATCGGACAAAGTATGTAATTCTGAAGCAAAGCTGCAGGTAGCAGAACGGGCATTTGCTGATGTGGTCGTTGAAGTGTTAGATGGCTTTTGAGAAACGGTGTTGACTGGGTCGTGGTGCAAGCAGGCTGTTGGACAACGGGTATAACGTAAGATACACAAGCATCCTGAATTTTGGTATAATCGTAATGATTATCTTCGATTTGATCAATATAATCGTGGAATATAAAATCCGAATCTTGAGAAATGTCTTGCGCTTCAATGCCGCTCGCTGTATGTTAATACTAAATAATGAACAATTACATTAACTTAATTACCAGAATTCATAGTGAACTATTACCTTTAAATTCAACGTTCATTTCGCTTTGATCGTTTGATGAACATGTTGCCGACACATGTGGAGGAACGAAAATTGGCGAAGATCTGTCAGCTGCAGAATCCGTTGCCTGTTTAATCATTTCTGTATTTCCTAATAGAGGATTACTTGGCTGGTCCGTGCGTTGTCTAAAATTTTCCGATTGAACGACGAACGATGAAAAGAGCATAAGTATATGCGCATATTTTGTATTGTACTTTTTACTCATTCCTTTTAACTTATCCGCCCGTCATAATAGCTATTCTTACTAATGACGCCTTTTGCCTTACAACAACTCGCTTCATACTTACTCCTCAATGGCAATACAATCTTGTGTTAGTATTATTTGTGGGTTATTAGTCATTACAAGAAACTGGTCGAATCAACGTGTCATTGAAAGAATTTATAGTTGACACGTATTTGTAGTAACGCGTTAGATGAATTGATATCGATGATGAATAATTAAGTCGGAGATGAATTAACATCATGATATTAATATCGATGATGAGTTTGTCATTGTGTTTACGTGCCTTGGGTGATTGGTGTTTGCATTTCGGTAGGGCGAATGAAGAAACTAGACTCCAACAACACGTGTCAAATGAAACTTTACCTGGAGTTTTGCGTTCCTTTATTAGCTGCACCTACGATTGAACGTTAAGGTGCTTACACACAACGGGTCAGCCTCCACAGCTCTACCAAGCATCACCACAGGGAGCATTGCATCCAATATACTAGAGAGAAGACTACAATGAGAAAAGCCCATTAATATCAAATAAAAAGAACGTACACAGTTATACTAGTAAAACATGTTAATTTATTTCGAAAATAAAATTTCATATTGTATGCACTAATAAGGAACGTTAATGCCTTGTTTTCTAAGTAGCGAGAGACACTTGCGACAATGAATACACTGTGGAAAATACGAACTACCATGCATAGTTGTTTATCATCATACATTCCCTTCAGCTGTGAGCGTGGGCTGCTTTGGCCAAACTAACATGAAAACTCTACAGGAGCGGGGTTCCACATTCTTTTCTCTCCTTATCGTGCGTACGGATATCCACAAACTTACGACAACAAATTTACATACAACGAATCCATTGAAGGGCTCACGGTGGCGGATGCCATAGCTGAAAGTGATGGGCCAACAATAGTTCGTATTCAAAAAGCTGCCAACGTTCCCCAATGTGCTTTTACTAGACATATATCTACGAACTATCCTCCCTAATAACATCCACGCCCCAACTTAACATGAGCAGTTACAATTACTGTTCCAATTTTACTAGTAGTAGCAGAATATCAATGATCAGTTTGACGGATGGTTGGATATATCTGACGTACCTAGAAGACATAGAAGTCGACAGTATGGAGTCACGATGGCTTTCCTGGTGAGGTTTACAGAAGTCTGTTTCCTGAGGCTGGGTTCTTGTTTGCAAAGGTTGTACGCGAAGACAAGTCGATAGTTTGGAGACGATATTCGACAGTGTAAGTCAACTGGATGGTTACTGTCATGTTGTTACAACGAGTTTGTATTAACCTAAAATAAATGATCGGCTTAGAACCGAAGATGGAAAAAACTACGCTTTAGGTAATGGCACCTTCGCCCCCAATCTCAGGGATGGAACTCAAACGTTTGGTATCAACATCTTTCGCACAATCGGCGGTGGATATGGTTGTGCCTTTGTTGTAACGAACCTTAACGTTCAGACTGCAACCACCTCTCAATGGAGTTTACAAGTTTTGTTCCTCCATCCAGACACTAACAAAGTCACCAAGCCAAGCAATGTATGGACGAGCCCAGCAGATGTTCAGATCAGTAATAACGCGTGTAGCGTAACATATGATGGTAGCGGATATGTTTGCCTAATAAATTTCTATTCAATGGGAGTTTCTTATGACAATTTTGCACTAAATGCTGATCCCAACATTCTTGTTGACGCGGTAGAATATGTCCATTATTCAACGGAGGTTACTTGGTAGTTAACTTTGTTGATTCGATTACGAATATGGTCGTTCAAGATGCAATCGTGCTAGACCCAAGCGGTAAAACCGCGAAAAGCGTGAAATTCGCGAGTCCAGTCCCTATAATACTTGTCTACTCAAGAAATAACACCATTTGGCATTGGATGGATGATTCACACAGTCGTGGTCAATCAATTACCCAAATTTACAACCTATGGTACGTAAAAAATACGCTTAGAGACTACAAATTCTAGATTAGATGACTGATATCACCGGATCCATCACATTTAGATATTGACTACCAGAATCCAAATATTGTAACAACATCGCCTGCCATTAACGAAGAAATACCTATTCGCAAGACCGATATAAGCATCACATACGACATGCAAGTAAAACCAAACGCAGGAAACGTCTCCATATACGCTACCGATGACATGAACATACTTCTCCGTCAAACATACTCGCCGGTCTATTTCTAATACTGGAAAATAGACGCACAAAATCAAACAGTGACTTTGCAAGTGCTTCACAGTACTTTCAATGAACCCAACATGTCTTACTTCGTAGTGCTAGAGACTGGGTTTGTTAACGCCAAAGACACTGACGCGCCGATTCCCGGGATTAATAGACAATGGAAATTCCGAACATGTAAGTATTACTACTCTCAAAGAGAACTGCCAATAGGTGTCTTGGATTATTATTGATTACCATTGATCGTTCTCAGCTTCAATACAACCGCAAGATGTTTACTCTCCCTCCACAACAGCAATCATCAGTCTAACTCCTTCGGGCAGTTCCCATTTTCTCGAACTATCCAACTCTGACCGTTCCAACTTCTTCTCTTCTCTCAGCAACTCTCTTGCATCCATTGTTCCTACCTCTCCATCCCGACTATCTATTTCCAAATCGACTCTAAATCCGGACAAAACCGAGTGTTATTATCTCTTCAAGTCTCTGCGGCTACCAGTGACTCGGAAATGGGCGTGGATTCAGTACTTAAAGATTTAGACGTGATAATTAAGGACAAGGCAATTACGATGGCTTCTCGTATACCAGAGACTGTGCTCGTGGACGAAAACTATGGTGTCCACATCGAACGTGTGCGCTATAACGAGACATGATCGGGAATAGCATAATGGGGAAATCAGGTTTGAAAGTTTTAACTTTATTGGTTTTGTAGCTAATTTATGGAACGAGTATAAACTGAATGTAATCATTGGGGTTGCCGCAGTATTTTTGATAGGATTACTTTATCTCTTGGCGAGGCGTATTAACCCAGAGGTGAGTACATAGCTCTTATTATTATATATGGTTATGCAACCGTTAATTCACTGTCTTTTTAACGTAGGCCCAAAATAGCGCGATTTTCACACTTGCGCTCGTTCTTTATGACTTTGTTGTTGACGTCGCTTTCATTGTGATGATGGAAAAGACGTGCAGCATTCTCATCCTCATAATCGCGGTGGTCTACAGCGTGACTATGGCTTTATACATAATGATCACTGAGAATACACGCTCGTCCAAATTCATTTTCTGGACTCAATCATACTCACAGATTGCTGCCGTTTTCACAGTCATAGCTGCTGCAAATATTGAAGTCTTGACTGTGATATGTGTAAATGGCCGTTTTTCTCAGCACCCTTCAGTGAACGAGCCCATCGTATAATATTTTGGGCGAGCACTGGTAACTTCTTCCTTGAGGATGTGCCGCAGTTCATTGTTCAGGTGAGTAAAACTTGGAAATAACATTTTGAAAGTGAAAGACAACACTTTACTCAACGGTAATATTTTTACAATGCAATAGATCATTTATCAAAATAATACTATCACGTATGACATAGTCCCACTCTTTTCTCTTGTCTCCGCATCGGTTATGCTCATAGTCAACTTGATTACTCGTTTTTACTACGGAATCACTCTCATGCGTGCTCGTAAGGTTGAGACTGTAGATGAGTCAGAATCTGTTTCAGATAAGATGGATACGAGACAAATTTAACGTCTCGTCTATGCATAATCTGGATGTGTCATAGCGGCGTCAATGATTACGCGAATAAAATCGAAATACGTCCATCTCGTCCTCGCGAGACGGTGTTACTTTACAGGGGATGAAATAGATTTATAATCGGACAGATACCTGGGATCTCATTGGTATTTGGTTGCTGTTCTGTTTTAAAAAAGGCTGGATCTTCGGCTCGAATGTAAACTAATGCTATGTAAATCCCGTCACTATGTAAACCTGGGATTTAAGAATACTCACTCGGAGTGAATTATTAATCCGCTGGAACCCAAATTGTTTCGCGACAAACATAACAGTTAAATTCTGGGCTACTCATTTCGAAACGAGACCATCAATGTGTCTCGGGCTGGGTCTTGAATGAAAGATAAATATCATTTGTACAAAACATCATATATATAGAGCGGAACTTCCGGATGGATTGGATTAAATTAAACTTGTACTTTTTTAATTTATTTTCTAATAAAGTTTCTATAATTTGGCTTTGATGTCAACCTTCGCCCATCGTTTGTGAATCAAGCGAGCAATATTGCTCCCGGAGACGGCCTCTGTTTCCATAGTCTGTTATATAGATAAAGAAATAAATTTAATCAGTAACACATTTTTAATAAGCATGATCTATTCTGAATTCTTTCCATTCGCCCATTCTTGTTAAAATACGTTACCGAAATAAAGGGCTCAAAGCTGTTAACATAATAAAACCCATCTTCAATCTTCACAGGCGGATAGGTCTGATTTGGCAACAGTTGTGGATATGCCTTCCACACCTTTTTATGAACCCATGACCATCGTTCGAACAACTCATCCAGATCTCCGTCCATCAACTCTTTCTCGGAAAATATCTTTATGATAGAATTACCATCAGGAAGTATATGAGACGTGCCAATCGAGTTGAATTTTGTGCTGGTCCTTGTTGTTAAGATGTACTCAGGAAGGGATTCATGAGAGGAATGTTTGAAGTACTTTGAGCTTAATTGACCAATTACGAATGTAACATGCAATGTCCGATAAGGAATTTCTGGAAAGTCGACGTTAATGTTTTCGAAATGTATGTTTGTAAATTGCTGCCAATTGATTATAGATAATTAGTATTGCAGCAGTTATAATTATTATATCATCAAGTTTAACATCGATGACAACACCGCTATTAATCATAAATGTTCTACATATCGTTAATCAATTCATACACCATTCCCATTCCCATCCCCTCGCATCAAACAAAAATACCTACAATCGGAGCTGCCAAGACAACAGCATCGAACACTTCGGCCTTCTCGTCACTTCCCACAACTTCATATTTTGTTTCCCCCCTTTCGTCAATCTTTTTTACACTCTTCACAGCATTTCCTAATTTCACCGTCGCACCCGATCTGTTTACAAATTCAACCATCACCTGGTAATTGCCTCCCTCAATCCCTTTTGCACCCTCCGGCGCCAACGAAATGAACCCACCGAGAGCATGGATATCATCTAGATTCGATGCATAATTTACTCGCGTTGCCGGTTCAACAAAATGAGACAGATACGGATGATAAACGTTGTTAAGGTTTTTGAGATAGTGTTCGGCGGTATGTTGAGGTTCGCTTTCTAGTCCAAGTGCGGACGAGAGCAGGAGCATATCTGTGAATGGTGATGGAAGATTGTACACAGATAAAAATCGGTTGACCTTGTCTCTGGTCATGGTTTTTACCTAGAAAATAGAAAGAAGCGAGGGAAATGGCAAAATAAAAAAAAGTGAATGGATTGTGAGGAAAGCAGAGAAACAACGTTAGAATTAGAAGATCGTATTGTTTAGATACAAGCTTGATTCACAAAGCAACATACTCTCAGTGGTGCTAGCCCATACTTCCAAAGAACCTTTAATACATTCAAGTAATACCACTTCGATTCTTCAAATACGAATTGTTCTCCATCCCATCTAGGCAAAAGAAAATCAAAAAGTAATCAAGTCCAGCATTAACATCTTTCTTAACCCCCTTTACAATCAAATTTCTTTTTTTTTTTGTACTTACATACCAACCCTCATATCTGCCGGAGGTTTCTTAAATTTGAATCCAAATTCTTTCGTCGCATTCATCATGTGATAATTGACATCTACAAAAATAGATGCTCCCATTTCTACAATGTATGTCCGATTCCCGTAAGGGATTTCCAGCGCCCTGCATCGTCCGCCGATGTGAAAAGATCGCTCATAAATAGTCGTTTGTAAATGAACAGAAGAATTCGCGAAGGCTTTAGAGAGATAGTAGGCCGTCGAGGCGCCGCCTATGCCGGCGCCTATTGGGAATGCAGAAAAACGAAAAAGTTAATCAAAGGCATTTGTTTTTTTTTTTTGTCGTTTACAGAAAAGTAAGCGGAGCGGATCATCTTGATAAATAATATTAAACTCACCGATAATCGCAACCTTCTTCGCATTTTTCCCGACTGGCTTGAATGCTTCAAAATAAGCTACGTTGCTCGTCTCTCCGTCATAAGCGACAAAAATCAATACTAAGAGTATAACATATAATACCGTTAGGAGTCTATTATTGCTTCCTAGTTTGAACGCTACCATTCGGATACGTGGATATGGGAAGAGAATGCAAAGCGAAGTGATGGAGAAGCTGACATTTGCGTAACAATTGCTAACGAACTCCTGCATAATACTCGGCTGCGGTTAATGACGCGTTATTTACCATTATAAGTTAGCAATATAAAAAATAATACATATTTGTCAACTAGACCGTTGGACAGAGGTGGCAGTATTTATATTACACATATGAAAATGTATGAATCATAATTCGTCGAACTACTTCATTGCAGTAACAATTTAAAATTTACAATCTGTTAGTGTTAGCTTCAAAGTAGCTACACAGTACGTATGGACAATATAAATAGAGATTTTGAAATTGGGTTTTACTATGTTTTGTCGAGGAGCAACCAATACTTTTTGGGCAGTACTGTATGTACAGTATATATAACATAGATGCTGCCCTTCTAACTATTTCACATTATTTATGATGGAACAAGGAAGACCATTTCAGCATGATCAAAAGCAATTACCGCATTGGAGAGTATTAGATAACATTCATTGTTAGCTTACTATGGAAAGGGTAGCCACAATAATTTTTTCCATAAAGAGCAGGAATGGGCATCGAAATTAAACCGCTCCAAAAGATAGCTTCTCAATTGATGTAATAGTATGCTGTAAGAATTTATTTATATATTGCCAATAAAATGACAATGATTATGAAAGTACGATTAAGGGTTAACGAGAAAACTGTTCTTTTGCGCAATCGCCTTTTTGTACAACGAAATGCACACTTAATTATCGATACATGCTAGAATATTAATATACATATTTTCTCTTAAATAACGTCCCCGTCCATATGAAGCGATATCCTAAATCAGAGTTCGTTAACCAGGGTTTTAGCATTTCCTGCCTTACAAATGTTTTATCTATTTGACTTTTGAAGCACTACATCACATGATTATAATTATAACTGGTTAAAGTTTAAGGAGGTGTGACAATTGGCGCAGATTTAAACAATGAAAGAGATCATTAGTTGCGGAACTAGTGCATATCATTAGAGATGTCTTCTCAGCCAGAGTCCTCGCAATCATCCCATGTATCTGATATAGTGGATCGGAACAAGACTTATTTCAATGAAATAGCCGAGTCGTACGATACTCATCCCATGCGATCTATGATTGGTAGAAAATGTGGAGAGGCTATTATTCGCGAATACGGCCATTTGTTCGATGCAAATACAACTGAAGTCATGGACTTTGCCTGTGGAACAGGTCGATATCATTTTTATCTGCTAATGCTTTTATCACGCCTGATCTTACAAGCTATTGCAAATAACAGGCTTGGTATCTGAGAAGCTAGCTTCTCACTCAAAGTACATACTCGGCGTAGATGCATCACAGGGAATGGCGGATGTATACAATCAGAAATGCTGGCAACAGGGAATCGACAAGAAAGAAATGGAGGCAGTCTGTCAAATGTTGACTGAAGAAGCAAGTGAAAAGGGAGATCAATTGAATGGGAAGAGATTTGATATCATTGTGGTAGGCATATACGTATCTTGTATACATTATACAAAACATCAATTAAAAATTTGCAATCTTCAATCTTTTTTTTTTTTTAGTGTTCTTCATCCTACCATCACTTTTCCTCTCCACAAGATATTACGCGTATCCTCGCCTCCTATCTCAAACCATCTGGGCATCTGATAGTTCTCGATCTGAAGTACGATAAAGAGACTTCCCATGTTTTCCATTCGCGTAGTAATCATGATGACCATTTGCACAAACATGAAGACGGTAAACATAATGATGCCGTAGCCTCGCCTAACAAACATGAAAACGGTAAACACAATGATGCCGTAGCTTCGCCTAATTTGCATGTGCATAACCATGAAGACGGCGGACATGTCATCGATACCATAGCCCATCGAGGAGGATTCAAGCTTGAAGACGTTAAAAGTGTGTTTGAAAATACAAGTGTTTTAGACGACATACGAGTGGAAATCGCGTTTACTTTTGAGAAGTTTATTGAAAGTGATCAAAAGAGTTACGAGTTTGAGTACTGGATCGCGTCTGGAAGGAAATTTTGATATGTATATTGCTGGGTTGGTTATATGAAATAATATGTGAACAAGAAAAGAATTTCAAGCATATTGTAATAGCATAGAACTTCTTGCCGAAAAGTTTCTGAGAGACAGGACTGGTTGCGTTTGTCCGTTCATAATTATTTCAACTTGAGTAAACTTATGACCACGCATACATTAAGAAAGTAGCTGTTTGACGTTCCATGGTTGTTAACGTTGGCCCTACAATGGAATGTAGCTGAAAAATAAAGCAATGCTACTTGCAATTGTAAAATATTTAGTTCATTGCAGATGTTTATCTTTATCGAAATTTAAGTTAGGAGGACGACCCGAATTTTCTGTTTGGTGTAAAATTCCGTTGTGCAACTTGCTCCTTTTTCGAGTCGAATTCCTTCGATGGCATACTCACTAGATTGCCAAACTTAGTAATTGCAGCGCCGGATGAACATAGGCACCACGATTCCATCTTAATAGTTCGCTTAGGTTGTCCAGCGCTCTCGTAATTTTCTACTGTAATCACCCGTCAATATGGGTTTTGAGAGACACTGTAGCCGCCAAAGAATCTTTGTTTTGTTTTTTAGTACACCAATAAACCAAATTGTTGAAGCCCCAAAAATTTGTTTATTTTGTAATATGCTTTTGCCAAGCATGGAGCGTATCCTTATCGGGAAATATTGCAAGTCAATTGTAGATCTCAACTTTACACATAGAAATATAGACATTCAGCATTCTAGGGATATCATGCAGCCAGAATGCAATCCATACTTTACGGTCGTAGTAAACCTCGCAGTTTTGCTCTTCGCTCAACCCGGATAGCCAAGGGCTCTCCAAAAAATGTTATAGTATTTGAGAACATTGACAATTCAAATGACTCTGATCCACAATGCAATGTAAAATTATTGACGGACACAGAATTCGAAGACGGAGATTTCAAAATGCTCCTTTCCCGGCCTGTTTATGGTTGTTTCGGTTTAACTTTTTTTGAAAAAGGTTGTTGACTCGCAAACTCGATATATTATCTATCTCAATGAATTGATAGGATCTTCATCAGTAAACTGACATAATGTTGTTTCAATCGAAGCTATCTTCCTCGCTATAGTGACAGAATGCGAACATATTGGATACATTCGTCCTGGAGAGTCGATTCATCGTATACTTGATGTTGAATTTTTATCTTTAACTAATAATGCATGGGACATTAATCAATCACCATTGTATGCTGAAGAGAACACTTCGTCCGGCACGCATCCATACATGCACGTAAAGAAGTTGCTTTCCAACGGGCATTTCTATTTCTCTTCTGACTTTGATTTAACGAGAAATCTCCAGGAGAGGTAATTGAGCGTGATTGCTCACCTTCATCCGTTAATGAATTCCGACTATGTATTTTGTCATCTCAAATCGCTATCTGAATCCTACTGCAGAGCAGGAGAGCCTCAGGTCAATAAATATCTATTTCAGGAGGGCTATCTTTGGAACAAATTCATGATTAACGAGTTGCTAAGTTTCCGGGAGAAGCTTGATGAAAAGGACAGAAAAGAAATGGATTTATGTTGCTTTTTTGTATGTATTTAGCAAGTGTTTAGACTAATCAACGCAATTATCAATGATTACAAATGTATTTACAAGTTGTTTGTTGCATAAGATTCTCGCCATTCAAGGCTACATTGGGCGAAAAGAAATGACAATAGGAGACGAAAATGTATCCTTGGCCGTAATATCCCGAATAAGCTGCGAGCGTGCTGGTATGTAAATCTAGGGGGTTTCTAGTGTCCTCCATAAGAATTGAGATTAAATGATTACTCTATTAGGATCTCGACTGGCTACTCGGGGGATTGATGATGACGGAAACGTTGCAAATTTTATCGAGGTACGTCAAATAAAACACCTGAATTATCAGTAATAAAAACGAGCAATCTCACGCCTCGGTATCTATCCGTAGACGGAAACCATCTTGCATACGGACAAGTGGACGTTATCGTATATTCAAATACGTGGAAGTGTTCCAGTATTCTGGGAACAACAAGTAAGAGCTTTGTGTCGTCATAATACTTTCAGTTACTTTATTAATTCTGTGTATTTGCTTTTAGGGACTTCAAGTCGTGTTTCACAAAATGATCATATCCAGAGGTCCTGAAGCCACCCAACCGGCAACTCAACGACATTTCAATAAGCTTACACGCTGTTATGACCAAGTGCATTGTATAAACCTCCTTTCCCAGAAAGAAGGGGAAGCCTTGCTTAGTAAAGAATACAGTAATCGCGTAAAAGAGTTAGACCAAATAGATGGCCAAGTATCATACACGCATTTTGACTTTTATGCGATGTGCAAGAATGGAAGTATTGAGAGCGCATCATTGCTCATAAGAGACATAAGGCATTATTTGGATGAATTCGAATATTTCGTATGGGATCAAGAAATATGTGCACCATCCTCAATACAGAATGGAGTGTTTAGGACCAATTGTCTCAGTTGGTGGGCTATAATTTATACATCTGCTAATTATATTGAATCATTGCTAACAAATATCTGTTTTCGTTGTTTACTAGCTTGGACAGGTAATGCTTTCTAATGATATTGAACGTCATCTGTATTTTTCTGATTCTCAGAACTAACGTGGGTTTATCAAACGCATACAGAACGAATATAATTCAAACTTTAATATCTCGCACAATATTACAAACATATTTGCGACAGAAACTCAATGCTAGCCAATTTGAAACGGAGCTCTTACTTGGACACCATGGGCAGTTGTGGATAGAGAATGGTGACAGCATATCCCAGATCTCTGCTGGAACAGGAGCGTTGAAATCTGACATAACAAAGAGCGGCAAACTTACTTTTGCTGGTATGTTACTAAGACTGGAAATCTCACGAGGTGTTTATCGGATGACTTTTCCTAATATAAATCATATTATTTCAGGCATTGTCAATGACGCAACAAAAAGCGCGACCCGATTTTACATTGGTAATTTTCATGATAAGTTTAAGCAGGAAGTTATTGACATGCTACTTGTAGGTATGAGTTACATATTTTCAACGTGACGCGGAGATTGAACGTAACTATTTACTTTTAGAACTTTCTTATACAACAGGGGAAGTCGGTCAATCAGAAATCAATTGTAATTCATGATCCCATTCGTAGACTGGTTATGAGAGATTTACAAGATAGGTAAGATTTAGCGGACAAGTCGTGTGTCTGTGTGTGTATCTGCCTGTTCTAGTACTAAACTGTTCTTCTCGTTGTTATAAAAGACTTCACGATTTCTCAGAAAAGCTAAATATAAATGTGTTCGTCGGAACTTATAATTTAAACGGAGTTTTACCCAACGGAGAATCTTTAGAACCATGGCTGTTGGGCCTCGAGTGTGGTGAGTGATCGCTTGATTATAGTTAGCAGACCCATTAAATATAGTATTAAGGCCGGTGGTCTGTGTAGATCCGGAATTGTATATTATTGGATTTCAGGAAATTGTTGAACTGAAACCACAACAGGTGAGCACATAAAATGCTAAGTTTTGTGGCAATTGTAGGCGATAGTTGTTAATTTTGCTTTACTAGATCGTGTCGGCTGATCCAGAAAAATTGTAAGTTGTTCTGAAATTATGCGTAAGAAACGTCCCAGGTTGCTAATTGTGTATATTTATGTCTGCTATAGGCGCATTTGGGTCAAACATATTGGTAAAACACTAAATGAAAGGCCTCAGGGAAAGAAATATGTTTTATTACGATCGAGCCAACTTGTGGGGACAGCACTGGTGGTGTATGCAAGGGCTGATGTACTTCCTGCAGTACGGAATATTGAAGCATCTATGAAAAAGGTATAATAATTTAATTTATTTTATTTTTAAAAAAAAACCACATTGGTCATAAGTATTTAATTCGTAAATAAAGACAGGTCTTGGTGGAATGGCCGGTAACAAAGGTGCAGTTGCCATTCGCTTGGATTACTACGACACTAGTCTGTGTTTCGTCACTGCGCATTTATTTTCTGGTGGGTACAATGAAACTTATTAGTCCCGTTCCCGCATATGTTATATATTAAAATTATCTGTCATACGTAAAATCAGGCCATTTGAACTATATAGAGCGGAATAATGATTATAATACAATTAGCAAAGGACTATGGTTCACAAGGGGCAGACTTCTCGATCATCACGAGTAAGAATTATCGCATCTGCCTCTTACAAAGATTACTTACTACACATGACTAAACGAAGAATTTTTCTCCAAAAATAGAAATGTCATTTGGTTAGGTGATTTAAATTATCGTATTGATTTACCGGACGAGCTGGTAAGCGCCTATGAATGTTCTATTATCTGCTCTACTTATGACTAATAATAGAAATGTATCTTCTAGGTCAGGCAGTACGCATCCATTGGCGACTTAAAGACACTATTAGAAGCAGATCAGGCATGCCCACAACATTATTTAAAAACTGTCAATATCTAAATATTAACTTCAATCGTATTTCGCTTGCTAGCTGAAAAATCAACAAGCATCTAAAGCAGTGTTTGCTGATTTCAAAGAAGGAGAGATCACTTTCATGCCTACTTACAAATACGACAACGGAACCGACAATTACGACACAAGGTAAAGTTAAACATGAAGAAGATAAAACGAAATCTGTTTATGAGCACTCGTCAACTCTGTTTTGTACGAAAGCGAGAAGAATCGCATACCAGCCTGGACAGACAGAATTTTATTCCGTGGAGAGAATGTAAGAATATTTACCTTATCCATTATGATATCACGCCCTTTGTATAATCCGAACTTATTTAAGTTATCGACGTAGATACAATTGAAACGATATTCGCGCGCTGAGATACGTATTTCCGACCATAGACCCGGTACATAATTTAATCTGTTGTTAAAGATCGCTAATACAACTTTTGATTCTCACTGCCTTTGTTATCATGCAGTGTTGGCATTATTCAACGTTGAGGTGAGATATGAGAATGACTTGTTCGAAAAAATTAAGACATGCTTTTCAACTTGTTACTTTTATGTAGATTACCAAATATGACGAATTGGCTAAGGAGCGGATAAAAGAAGAACTGTACACAAAGAAGAAGTTAACCGCTGAGGTCATTGAAACTGAAGTCACGCAAATAGTAGCTGAAGAGGAATCCGAGTTATTGGCGATTTCCGAAGAAGTCAGGACAAATTGTAAGTATCTAGAGCTTTTTTTTTTCTCATTACAAAATTTTTAATATCAAATTTGATCTCTTTAGTTTTAGACCCTTGTGATGTTGCCACTAGCTCGGCGAGTAAAGGTTAGTATATCAGAACAGTTAACTGCGTTGTTCAGTTTCTGAATGGGGATTGCTTTACAAGCGTCTTTCATGCAGGTGATGTTGCTGAAGCGACAATTACTACAACAAAGTTGGTGGACAATGCAGAGTCTCCCCAAAGCGAGTTGTATGAATCAATACTTGTTGACGTGCTTCCAACGGAAAATAAGCAAGACTCCGTTACGTGTAAAAAGGAATGACCCCAATAGGATCGATGCCGCTCTTTTAGTATTCTGGGATACTATATCATAGACTGTAATTATTATATTTATTATTACATTTCCATTTCACCACAACTTGCCAGTTTTCATGCTTTTTTGTATCCCAACTCATGCAAGCTGGCTTTTAAAGCGTCCAATACTTGCTCAATATGTTTGCGTTCACTCTCGACCACGCTAATACCCATATGCCTAATATGTGGATAGAGAATAATTAAACGTTTAGCAAATTACAGAACGTCATTCAGAATTAACAAGTCATAACATATGCTTACCCGATTCTAAAATATTTTGACGCAATGGCTCTATGCAAACCGCCAGCAGCTACAATGTTATGTGCCAACATCTTACGAAGAAGATCAGGAGCCTGTATACCTTCTGGATAATATGCTGCCGTCATGCCATGGGCTGCTATGTCTAGAGATTTTGGTAGCTTGATCAACAGTAATATGTTAGAATCATGCGATTCGGGAGGTTTCGGATCAATAAGCAAGAATGACATCTTATATGCCACATACCATCTTCAGTCCCAACTCATCGAATGTACGTTTAATCGCATCACTGACTTTTTTATGCTGTTCAAAACGAGCCTCAAGCGAGGTAGCTGTTATCTGCTTCAAGCTTGTATGGAGACCATAGATCATTTGGACCGGAGGCGTAGCAAAATAAGATGGCCTTTTTGCTTCGTATGCGTTCATGACTATTGGGTTTCGTTTGTTTATGGTAAAACGTTAATACGGCAAGCATCACAGAGGTGCATCATAGAGGTCGACATAGTAAAAAAAGTTATAACCTACTTGGAAGCCAATTATGCCAAGAGGCGTAATAGCTAGTGATAGGACTCTTTCTGCCTTTGAATATGTTCTGTGATTTAGTTAATGCAAAATTATATGAATACTACATCACGTCCAATAAATTTCGAAGGTTTGGTGAGGCTTTGGCTTACTATCGCTCTTTCGCTTGCTACTAGGATAGACAGTCCTGGTGGTACGCCGATTGCTTTTTGACTCGCAGTCATTACAACATCCAGCCCCCATTCATCCATGCGGATTTCTTCGCAGCCAACTGAGCATACACCATCAACAACAACCAATGTGTTGGGAGACGCCTTATGTACTAGCTCAGATATGGCTTTGATGTCTGAAAGTACTCCTGTGGATGTATCGACATGTGTAATAGTGACAATCTTGAATGTGTTTTGGGAAAGTGCTTCATGTATGCTCTCAATTGTAGGACGATCTCCAATTTGAGCATGAACTTGGGTTACTTTCGCGCCGTATGTTTCAAGACTATATAATCGAATAACGTGTTCGAATAGCAGTTGCAAACCATTTTTTAACCTTGTATAATATCAGACTCACCAAGTAGTGAATGAATCACCAAAATATCCTGAATTCAGTACCAACGCATCTTCACCTTGCTCAACCAGATTTGAAGCTACCATATCCCATCCAAGTGTACCAGAACCAGCCACAATGAATGGTTGACCTTTGTCAGTAAACAGTAGCTTCCTTAAAAGTCCAAAGCATTCTCCAAACACAGGGATAAAATCAGGCGAGACATGAGATTGTGAAGGCGTGGATAATGCTGTGAGAACATCCTCATGAAACTCAATTGGACCTATTATATAAATAGTGATATATGTTACATGATAATTATTTCTTTTCGAATAATGTTGAGCGTCTTTCCATACCTGGCACCATGCAAAGCTTATGTTCTTGATTTCCCGCCATAGTTCTAAATAATCTTGTCTTCAGGTACTGTCTTGGAATGGGCAGGAATGTATTTCTTGATCTTACAGACGTAAGACACTGAATGCGAAAATAAGGTATCATCTGCACATAATAGGTCCATTCGGAGAGAGATCACCAAAAAATTTTGGTTCAATCAATCTACAACAGTATTTTCGGTATCGGAACCCAAATCAAGTTACACCAGTCATATATCATCATATATCAACGGCCTGCACATCAATGATCCTTAGTCTATCCTTGATCATTCAACATTCTGAACAACGCATTCTGATTAAAACAACAAGTTAGATAACATGTCTGAGGCTGAACGTAATTCTCTGTTTGAATCGATTGGTCTTACTGCACAACGCGCCAAAGATACGGCCAAGAACAATAAACTCGCAAACACCTTGGAACTCGTTATTACAGAGGCTGGATACTCAAACACTGGTTGTGATAAGGCTACAGGAGCTTTGCTCTATACGCTTGCTTCCACAATAACCAAAGACGCAACTCCTCATTTGGGATATATCTCGCGCGCTATATGTAGTAAAAGATTGAACACGGCCGACCAAGTCGCTGGTAAGATTTAAAATTGTAGACTTTACTAAGCATGCGAGCCGTGCGTGATCCTCCTAACTGACTATGCTCGTATCTATATCATATTGGGGTTGGATTCTGAGCAGCCGCTATAAGATTTGCAGCGAATAATCCCGAAACGATTGATGATTCTAGATTTGATGAATACTGCGGCGTTGGTTGGTAGCCTCCCAAGCACTTTTTATCTGAAAGAAACTTACAATCTGTCTCTAAGCTGACATCGAAACATCTTATTACTTCTGCAAGGCGTAACCGTTACACCCGAACAAATTAGCGAAGCCGTTAGTGATCTTATTGCCTCTAATAAAGATGCTCTTATAAGGGATAGGTATAAAATGCTCGGACGATTACTGGCTGAAGCAAAACAACTCCCTTCTCTACAATGGGCCGTTGGTGTTGCCGTCAAGGAGGAAGTAGAAAAACAAGTTTTAGCTTTAATTGGACCCAAAGATGAACGAGATGTGGTGGTTAAGAAAAAGGTAAGCGAATATCAATGTTGTATTATAATACAGTCACTTTTTAAGCAATCCCATAACCAAACATCGTAGAAAAAAGAAAAGGAAAACAATGCTTCTCAAACCTCCACAGCACCGAAGAAGACTACGATCGGAACCCCAACCATGTTTTTGGAAGGAGAGCTTGCTAAGCTGCATAAACCAGGTGGTAACAAACAAATTAAGCCCGAGCTCATGGAGGAACATCTTAAAGCAACTGGAAGAAAAGTAATAACACGGTTTCCACCTGAACCTAATGGGTATCTTCATATCGGACACGCCAAGGCTATTAACGTAAATTTTGGATACGCGCTGGCTAACAATGGTGTATGCTATCTCAGGTGAATGCAAAGTAGTTAGTCTTCTGGAGCATACTCAGCGGTGTATGGCGTTACTAATGTTACGTATTCTCAACTACACTACGTGAATTCTATGCTAGATATGATGATACAAACCCTGAAGGTGATAGCTTCTAGGATAAAATTTTTTAAAAGATAATATTCTATATAACCTAATGTCTGACTTCTTTGCAGCCGAAGAAGAGCGATATTTCATATCGATTAAAGAAACTGTAGAATGGCTTGGATTCAAACCATGGAAGATTACGTACGCGTCAAATAATTTCGACAAATTATACGAATTAGCAATTGAACTGATAAAGCGCGACAAAGCTTATGTATGCTTCTGTACTCCCGAAGAAATGTATGAGATGCGTGGTGGTGACAGCCGTGGGGCGCGTCGAGAGTGCAGTCATCGTAATCGACCCATAGAAGAGTCGGTGGCGGATTTTGTCAAAATGAAGGAAGGAAGATTCAAGGAAGGTGAGGCTACCCTGCGTATGAAAATGGATATGCAGAGTGGTAATCCGCAGTTTTGGGATCTCGTTGCTTACCGGGTTATGTATAAACCTCACCATCGCACTGGTGATAAATGGTGTATTTATCCGACATATGATTACACCCATTGCTTGTGTGATTCGTTTGAGAATATTACGCACTCGTTATGCACGCTTGAATTTCGCATGTCGCGTGATTCGTATTATTGGCTATGTGATGCATTGGAAGTATACAAACCTGTTCAGTTTGAGTTTAACAGGTGAGACTGTTTGTTGGTGGTTTTTTGCATTTCGATTTTGTATCTGTATTTGTACTGCTTATGTGTGTAGTTTTCTTTGTCTGTACTCTTCTATTATTAAACAAATCTTTTCTTTATAGATTGAGCATTAACAATACAATAATGTCTAAACGCAAGATTGCCAAACTTGTTAACGAAGGTTATGTGTTTGGCTGGGACGATCCACGGCTTTATACATTACCAGCGCTTCGACGTCGAGGTATTCCTCCTGAAGCTATCAATGGCTTTGTCCAAGAACTTGGAGTAACAACTACTTCAAGTACTACCATCCAAGTCTCGCGCTTTGAGAAATATGTCCGCGATTATCTGGATGATCACGCGCCGCGGTTAATGGCAGTCGTAAATCCGTTGAAAGTAATAATCGAGAATCTGCCTGACGATCATCTTGAAGAATTGACTATTCCGTTCAAACCTAGAGATCCTTCAATGGGAGAGGTAAGCTTAACGCGTTGCTAAGAATATAGTTAATACCAGGTCAACTTACTACCGTAATATTTCAGCATTCCATACCCTTCACAAAAGTCTTATACATTGATCAATCGGATTTCCGAGAACAAGATTCTCCTGATTATTTCCGCCTTGCTCCAGGAAAAACCGTTGGTCTCTTATATGTTCCACATCCCATTACATGTATAGACGTTAAGAAAGATGCAGATGGAAATATCGTTCACTTGGCGTGCAGATATGATGATGGTCCGGATAAGATGAAACCCAAAACATATATTCAATGGGTTGGTGAATCCTCAAAACACGAATCTCCCATTAAACTTGCAGAAGTGCGGATATATAGTCACTTATTTAAGTCTGGAAATCCAGAATCAAATCCAGACGGATTCTTGGCAGATGTCAATGAAACTAGCCTTGATATCGCGAAAAACTCTCTTATTGAAATTGGAATGCGAAATGTGATTGATAACGCATTGAAATCTAAGCCACATTTAGAAAATGTTAGATTCCAGGCAATTCGAGTAGGGTATTTCTGTTTAGATAAAGACACGATCTTAAAGGAGGCTGAGGGTGAAGAGCGACTTATTCTTAATCACATTGTTACTTTGAAGGAAGATCCAAAGAAAAGCTAGTAAATGGTGTGAATCAACCAAATTAGACGTCCTTACACGTGACAATGGTGGATAAATTACGATGCATACTTTAAAAATTACTTAATTGTACGATGTGCAGTATACCTTTCCAAAATAGTCACCCTCCAACTTATACCCAGGGTATTGTATTCTTCAACTAATTCATAATTCCCTTTCCTGACATTTAAACTAATTTTACGAGTACCCGCAGCTTGGTAATAAAGTCGTACAAGATATCGCTACCACCAGAACACCTAACTTTTATTCACAACGAGGTGCTCGCTAAAGCCCAGTTTAAACTGTTTTACCACCAGAATACCAAACCACAGCCGAGCCGTTATTTGAATCACGGCCAAGTAAGATACTCTGCTTGATTCATACTGGGAATACTGTAACATCACCCGTATATAACTATTTTCACCAATAGTATTTCAGAAAACTTTGACCAATCATAGAGAAAATCTACCATACTATAATGGTCACACAAAATCGCACTTCCCATTTCTCGTAACTATCAATGCTTCGTTCTAAAATTTTGAGTCGCTTGAGAATAAAGAAATTCCATACTTCCATTCTACATCGACAACAACATACCAACAGAAGTTCTCCCAATGCATGGTCACTCATATTTGAAGACAATGATCCTATTCCAGATCACTCAAAGTACCGCCGAATCACATCCACGGATGCAGCGAAATACGAACACTTCCCAAGAAATACCAAAATGCTCGTGAGGGATTTTGTAGATAATTCTCTGTATAACCCACGTTATGGATACTTCTCGAAGCAAGCACAAATTATTTCCACTGATATGGAATTTGACTTTAATTCGATGAAAAATAATAATGAGTTTTTGAAAATACTGGCTAAGAAATACGACGAAATAGAGGAACAGTTAGAAGAAAACCATGTGGCAGCGAGACAATTGTGGCATACGCCCGTTGAGATATTTAAGGTAATAATAAAAAAGGTTCCGTCGACGGGAAATCAAGTCCTTGCTTGTGAATTTACGAATTTTGGCTGTCCTGGTTGTTTTTCTGTTTGAGCTGTTTACTATGATCACCCTATTATAACATCGAACCGTTACATTTCTTTTGTAAAATATAGCCATGGTATGGCTATGCAATGGCACAGTATATGGTCACTGAGTATCTTCTTAATAGCTATCCTCACCAAGATCTTATTATATACGAATTGGGTGCTGGTAACGGATCTCTGATGCTCAATATACTCGACTACATACGAAAGTTCCAGCCGTCAGTATATCAGCGAACCAAATACAAAATTATTGAAATTAGCGCTAAATTGGCAGAGAAGCAGGCAAACCGGCAGAGCGTGCGAGCAGCGAGAGACACACATAATTGTGTAGAGATCGTTAACGAGAATTTTTTTGATTGGAAAAAATACGTGTCAGAGCCCTGTTTCTTCTTGGCATTTGAAGTGGTGGTAGGATAAGTTAACTGAACGCGCCCTATTACAACATGCTTTTTTTGTTACGTGTATAAATTGTGTATATACTATGCAATATGTATGCACGGTTAATGACATGTACATAGACATCAATAGTCATTTGTTACAACAACTATTTGACATTAATTCGCACTTACAAACTTTGTTTTCTTTCATCTTTCCCTCTCCCCCCCCCCCTCCCCTTGTCCCGTAGGATAATTTTGCCCACGATCTTATCCGTTACGACAACGAAACTGAAGATGCTTGGCACGGTTTAGTAGTAACTGATGCCGATGGCAATTTCCACGAAATTTACGAATCCATTAACGATCCATTAATCGCGCGCTATCTCTCACTGCGCCAACAAACGCATTATCGTACCCCAATCCTACACAAAAGACGTTTTCTACGCAAATTCCGAAGTCTCTTACCTTTTGCATCCAATATGACAATACCTGAATTTATTCCAACTAAACTTTTATTGTTTCTTGAAATACTAAAAAATTACTTTCCTTATCATCGTTTGTTGCTCTCTGACTTCTATACGTTACCAGATACAATAGAGGGTATAGGCGCTCCCGTAGTACAGACACGCTTTGAGCGAACCACAGTGCCATGTTCCACGTACATGTTGATGCCAGGGTATTTTGATATCTTTTATCCCACTAATTTTGAGCTGCTAAAAGACATTTATCAAATAGTATGTCGAGCAAATCAGGCGACTGAGGACGAAAAACATATCAGAATTCTGACACACAAGGAATTCCTGGAACGCTATGCGGATGTAAAGGGGACAACTACAAGAAGTAGAGAAAATCCCATGTTAATGTTTTATGAGAATGTAAAGTTTTTCCTGAGTTAAAAATACAAGTTTCAAAACTATAATAATAATCGGATTGTGGATCATCGTTACCCATATTCAAATACGCGTTGAATAAGCATTATAGTGAATTTACCTGTAGGTTAGACAATTTTTCGTTTTAAATTATGCTTCCTTGCCACCATATACAAGAAGCGAAAGCAAATTTCGGTCAAACATATACCAGCATACTGTATGTTAATGTTTATGTAGAAATTAACTCATGGTGACATTATTCGATGTTACAGAAACATTCGCTATTTTCCCATTAAAAACTAATATAATTATTTCAAATATGCTTACACCTATGAAGACAGTACCAAACACTATTACTGTAATAATTCTACATGATAGCTTACTTGACATATCCTTTACCAGGTCTGAGCTGTTTGCGCTTTAGAAATATAAAAAAGCAGGAATACGTCTTTATGGAATTTTTTGTAAAGCACTAGATGCTAACTCCACTGAAAGTTGAATCTAAATCTAACGCGTTTAAAAGATGTTTCTCCTCTCATAAGATGTTCCCTTATTGTATGCACAGTTGCTCACCATAAAAGAAGGGGTTCCTTATTTGTCTACGTGATATTATATAATTTCAGGAAATAAATTCTGATGTTTTACTTGCGGAAAAGAATATACAACACTTTTGGCATGCTCCAGATTTACCGCAGTCACGTATTTGAATTGTTTTGCAGTCACACTAACACGAGGCTACACAATATGACTTCAACTCGCGAACAATTTTTCCAATGGCTCTGACAATGTTTCAGCTGATACATAAAACAACTTGCTTCCTATCGCTGGGACGCATTGCTCAACAATACAGACATAACAAGATCCAACAAATTATTCAGACAGGTACAGGTAACGACTTTGTGATTCGGGCATTGGCAGTATGTACATAGGGTAGAGTAGACATTATGATACATTTCTTTTATTGCAGTAAAAATCTCACAGATTATCGTCGTAAACCAAAACGTCTCGTTGAATGGCCTAACTTTAAGAATATCGTTCGCCGCCACAAGCCTTCCATCACAACTTGCCACCGTAGGGCAAGTTGCTAATGTGAATACGAACCTTCAAAACCTTCAACAGAAACATTTCGTATTTGCCAATGAACCTGACGTTCAGGCAACGTTTGAACATAATATGCTGGCATCCCTGTCCGAAATAATCAGATCAAAACTCAATAGGCCCGCGATATTTGCTCGTCATAGTGTTCTATCTATTATCGATGATCTTAATAATACGATCATACCTAATAACAACGATAACAACACCGTTCGTATAACACCACGATCAACAATATTCAAAACCTTGTACAAAAAAAGAGACTGAAAACAAAAAAAACATCACGATAAATGATTATTATTATGTAATAGTAAAGTATAATCCACAACAACGTTAAGGGTGTTACGGTCGGGAATTAAATGGGGGTGTTTTGGGAGAGCGATTTTATCTTTCGCGTAGGTGTGTTCGCCGACCGGGGATGTTACCAGGCTTAGCTCGTGCTATCGCCCTTACTACGATAATTGTACAATTAAGACTGAATTAAGCCTCAAGTGATCTATTTTAATTATGCGCGCTTCTCACTCCCTATCCGAGTTTCAAACACTCGTGAATACAAATAAGGGTACCTCTAATAAAACAATAACAACAATTATTCTACTAAAGAATCGAAGGGGAATAACACGATTTTTAAATTTAAACAGGGCTATCTTCGATTTGTTTGTCGACTAGTCGGTATCCGTCACTTGTCTTTACTAACAATAATCGTCTCGATAATTAATTATCAACTCTCGTTCTGTAATTGATCCGCGGACAGCTTGTTAGCTTGATCAAATCAATGTTATTCCGTTTCCGCTTAAGTGAGCCATTTATTGGAGTGTCCGGTCTAATAATCAATTATTTCGACGATAGAATATTAAATTATGTATATTTATAATAAAGGATTTCGGGATGTTCACAACACATAACAACATGAAGATTTGACGATGGAGAAAGAGCTACTTATATATCTTTTGCATCGCAAGAAAAACGACATGCTTCTATATAAATTATTATATTATGAAGAACAATTAATTTTAGCGTTTGTGCTGTCACATATTTTGCGACTGCTTGCGCTTGTCACAATTGGCGACACGCTTGCTGCGCCTGTCGACACGCTACCAACTAAATTTAGTGCCGATCATGAGTTTGTTTGACTGCGGAGGAAGATTTTGCTTATTTATCCGATTCATCAGATCAGCTCGCGTTAGCTCACAACAGTAATTGCAGTAACCAGACGTAAACTCCTGATAAATAAAACGCGCCTTTCTCACCACTTATTCTTTTTATCAACTCTTTCAAGTATGGTTCAAGACTCGTCGTTGACTACAATAGACCTCCTATTCAACGCAGCGAAAGTCCTGGCCGAACAACAAACCAATATGAAAATCGAACTATTAAGCAATCTCGTCGGAATTTCACAACAGACAACAACTGATTGAGGTTTTATAAGTCATCACGTACAAAGAATCTCATAACACCTTGGGAAATATAATAAACATGTTGTTTGTTGACGGAACGAAACTCCCAACCATACTTTCTGCAGAAAATGGGGAGCGAGAGGCTGCATCGTTGAACGAAGAAGAAAACGGGCAATAATGGTTATTTTCAAGGGAAAGAGAATACCTAAGGGCCATTATCTGTCATTAGAATGAAAAAAAAACGGATGGATGGATGAGAGATTGGCTAGATACAATTTGGCTACAGTGAGCAGAAGATCCGGCCGACGCTGGTGTTTTGATTTAGAGATCTGACGACAACTCGTGACTTATCGTCACTCCGACATACACTGACCACATCGTACCTAAGTATTAACAAGCCATTCAAAGACAGGCTTTGTGAGAAATGGAGAACATTGGGCTTTTCAATTAAATGAATTAAATACTATTACTATTACTATATATCCATGTATGTCAATTTACTTACTTATTACTGGGGGATATGTTTCACTGTATATTGTAATTATAGTCATATTAATATGTAAATGTAACATTGGGCTCTTCAATTAAATGAATTAAATACTATTGCTATTACTATATATCCTTCCATGTATGTCAATTTACTTACTGGGCTTGTACTGCAGTGGAAGATATATGTTCACTGTATTAGTATATTATAGTAATTTAATATGTAAATGTATTATTACTTTTCTTATTTACTTAATATGTCAGGCATGATTAAAAATACCCTTGTTTTTATATTTGCATTTTAATAATCTCAGTGAGATTTGGATTGACTATAAATTTATAATAATAATAGCAGTCTCAAATTTACTATAAGATGTTCGCGTTTTTAGACTTGTGCAAGTCGAAAAATATAATTTTTGTCTGATATAATCTAATCTGTTAATGTAAAAAAGCTTTTACATTTGTTTTTTATCAACTTGCTCAAAATTTTATTCATGTCTTGAACTTGTGTTAAATAAAAAAAATTTTTAAAAATAATAAGAACAATGTAAATGTTATTATTCACTTTTAAAAAAATTGATTGGTTCATCATAAGTTGGCATAATTATTATAATAATGCTTGTTTATTGTTTATTATCTTTTTTCTTTATCTGGAGAGTTTGGGTATCATAATCATTGATTTTAAAAACATACAAAGCAATTTTTTTCTCCTTGAGCTTTCTTTAGAATGCTTCTAATAGTAATGGTGGATTTGATATAAATTAGTTTCATATTATATTTTTATATAAGATGTTCTGGGATTTGACCATTCCAACCCGTTTCGATGTTATCACATAGTATAATCAAATGTTAATAAAATGTCCACTTTGTCTGGTTTTTATTATTGGCACATGGAATAGAAACAGAAACAAATCTCGGACAAATGGTTCAATGGTATCAGCATTGAAAGACAGACAATGCGATGGGACAATGTAACCTATAATACTAAATATTAATTGAAATTTGGAAAGACACTTTACAGCTAGTCAGTCTAGTTACTTAATCATTAAATCTCAACAACTCTTTGGCTCGCCCTCTGTCTATATTGCTAGGCTTGGTCTCATTCGGATTCTCATGTTCCCCTCATAGTCAACATACATCCTATTCGGCATTTGAATACATACTATTGTAACTTAAAGTCTGAATTCCAAACCACATTCATTCTTAGTCCTTAACATTGTTTCTGAAAAACTCATACAGCATCTTCCCATTATTATCTCCGATTAGTTTCTGACACTGTTCCAGTGTCATTTCACTCAACTCTTTTAAATTTTCCACTTGCGTCATGACACGTTTATAGTTTTTGGATGTAATCCCGGGTAGAGCACGCAAGACATCCTGAGAATTCGCATTATACATGGAATCGGTTTCCTCTCCTTCTTCTACTCCGATTGCCATAGCCTTTTCAGCGTCGGGTTCTTCATGGGATTTCTACGAATAGCCATAACGATTAGACTTGTCGTACAGTGAATATAACAGACTTTAAAAACGAGACGGTGCGTACTTTCAAATCTTCAAATATTTCAACCGTAGCATAGGGACTAGAAGACCAGATAATTGCAAGACGCGGGAATGCGAGTGTGAGGAGAACAAGCTTTGAAGAGAGATCAGTCACCCCAATGTCAGCTTTCATATCGCTGATTCCCTTTTGTCATTGTAAAGATGGATTAATAATATTGTATAACCTCATAAACGTATTGCATCCTGATATACTTACCTGCAAAGTGAAGGCCTTATTTTGGTCAAACTCGATCAATAATACTGGCTCTTTGTAATACATTGACATTGCTTCACATTGGGTATATCTAAATACAATCATTTACTACCTGATACTGTAGTAATCTGAATCTCACAAACTCTCCAACCCTTGTCGTCTGCTCGATTACCATACTTACAATCTGCCAGAATTCAGAGACCCTACCAAGTCTGACACGCTCTTTCTCTCAACACACATCCTAGGCGAGAGAATGTAATCACCTACTTGGAGAGTGCACGGGACAATTGTCACTCCGCGTGCGTGAAGAATTGAAGGAAGTGAACTACGAAATTCACGAACATCAACAATCACCTGTTAATCGTGATATTAACAAAGTAGGCAAGCACGGTAAGTTATTTATACTGTAGATGTCAGAACAATGCATCAGATAGAAAGTGAATTCAAATTTACTTTGGTTTCGTAATTAAGAGGCAAACGTCCGCCAGCAACGCGAGTGTTGGTGGTTCGGAGAAACGCGTCATCTGGGCCAATAGATTTGGCAGCACTTTGTCCGAGTGGAATTGCCATTATCTATTTATATCCACAATTAGTAAGTAACCCAAGATACCAGGTAAAGTGCTGGGTACTCACCGACTTTTCTCTAATTATTTTCTCAAACGCTTCCTTTTCCCTCCTTATACTACTCAAGTATAACTGTTCTTCAACTGAGTTTTCGTACATCAGAAAATAAACTCGAGTATTTCGTCCGGGATTTGAGGCACGAAAGACCTGTTATGCATTCACACGATGTTCTCTCAAACTGCAATCAAAAGATCAAACACGTTCCCTCCTCTGCCACTCAAGTCATACAAGTACCTCAACACGCCGCACAAAACCGATATCGGGTTGATACATCACAATAAACTTTGGCTTCACCGTTTCCAATAACCGATCATCATCGTCATTCGAGTATGGACGAATAATGACTAACGAATCGGGTGAGATCACGTCGAAATATTGTGCGAACGCTTCTGCATCGAATTCGTCATTATAGTATGAAGAATGGTGTGAAGGTGAAGTGTCTGTTGGTGCTGTGCCAGAGCTTAAACTTTATAATTAATAGAGATTTAATATAGCCTCGAGGTTAAGAAAGCTGGTGAAGGCGAATTGAATGAACAATACCATACAATGAGACAATTTCTTTTGTTTCTTCTTCGATAGTGGAGGGTGCGGGTCGAGATGATGACGCAGCTGTAGAAGAACCTCCCCGTACACGTCGCCTTTTGTTTGGTGGTGGCTGTCCTCGATGGTATTTCTGTTTAATACCTAAGGAGTACAAAAATGGTCGATTAATTCAGACTCCACCGACGCGCCATTATCTGGTTCATTACCATTGACTTTCTCTTTCCTACCTCCTTCGCCGGTCTCTGTCGTATTGTCACTCGCTATCTTATCATCTTCCTTAAATAATTTCTCGCTAACATTGGGGATGGCACCTTTCCATCTGAAATAATTGCGGAGTAAATCTTTAAGTATGGGATTGCTCCCGCCTACGTTATGCTGCCCATGGTTCGTAGCAGTTAAATATTCACGTAATTGTGAGCATGTGCGTTCAGATCCAGCCATTATTAAAATTACGTTTGATTTATCGCCTATATGATTTATGTAGTGAATATATTGCATTTGGTGGTGAACAGTTCAAGTAAAAAATAAAAAATCTCATTCTTACTGTCATCAACATTTTTTGCGTTGATTGCTTCCGTTTCATGTTCTATCTCATATAAGACGTCGCTCAACAGCCTCCATTTCGGTAGTTCCTCAAGAATCGGTTCGACGGATGGAGGAAAGTCAAAATTATCGCTCGATTTTGATGAATCTTTGTCTGCATTTGCTTTTCGGATATATACACGCTCTTTGGCAAGCTGCAGAGGATTAAATTGAATAGATCTTTGATAAATAACGGTAGCTCCACATTTAACGTAAAGAATGGCTTGTGCACGTACAGTAAATATAGCATTGGCAGAATCGGTGAATAGCCATGGCGATTGTTGCTGAGACATAACAGACGTTGGAGTGTTACTTGCAATAATCATTTCCAAAAAACTATTAAACGTAACGCAATCGTAAGTAACAAGATACCTACAAGATTCATACCAGAAGATAACGTCAGCCATCATTCGACGTGAAAACTCGTTCAATATTCACATAGGTTTCCTACTTACGATAATAATTTACGCAAGACATTAAGGTCTCCAATCATCTGTTTAGTTTTACTGCTAACACGATGCCATATTGGATCTAGCTGGTGTCGCACTAATCTATCAAATGAGCGAAACATCGCGTTTTCTATTGTCAATTCTTCAACATCTATCTGTCACAAGTAAAGAAAATGACATGAACAAATGATAGTCATGCAAACAAATAAAACGTGTTCGTTATGGCACATTCGTAGCTAAAACACTTACGGATCTGTTTGCCTTTTTCAACTCGGATAAACACGCTTCCATGCATTCCACGATAGCAGATTGGATGTGAGTCATGTTATCTGACAACGGTTGTAACAATTCCACAACGTCTGCCTTGCGACTTTCAAGGCTTTCTCTCACTGTAACGTGAAAACTAACAGATTATCAGAATTAGAATTACGTGGTCAACAGACGCGATTAAAACAAGACAATTTGTTACCGTGGCCAAATAAAGACTGTTCGAAGCTGAAGACACTGCATTGTAGTCTGAAGAGGTGAGAACCCAGTCACAAAGGCCTCTGGTGAATCCGAAAAGGCCTTGATAAAACCATTCTGTAATAACGAATGATTGGGTTTATTCATCGCTGTCGATGAATATGCAATACAAAATCGACTCTAGTTCGAACATGTCACCTCATTCTCTTGTCGAAATATCCTCAGAATGAATGCTTCAGTAGAAGTCTCCGTCACTCTATAACGCCCACAAACGTCTTAAACGAAATGTGTTCATAACTGACAAGTAAAAGAATAATCCGGGTCGTCACCTCTCAGCATGGTTGACTATTATTCCTGTGATCTTTTCGACTGATATTCGTTTAGTCAATATATCTACTATAAAGATACGAGATGTAACCGAGAATATTCCACCCGATAAATAGAGTTCAGTTCTAATTCGTTGAGAAGGATAAAGAAATTCGCAATGTAAAAAGAAATGATCATAAAAATTGACACGGTATAATCAATCGTTTAATCATCATTAGGAAGATCAACCGCTACAATTCTCCGTTCCTATTTTTTTTTTTTACAACCAACCTTTCCTTTGCACTTAGTTCATTATTGACAATTCTCAATCCAGGCCTGCCAACACCCATTCCCAATAATTCTTCCTTAATATACTCTTCCTCGCCTGTCGGAGTATTCAACAGTATCACTAAAGTCTCGGGCCTGGAATATAATTTCATTACTGCGCACATTATCCGGCGAATTCCTAATCCCCTAGCGAGAATCAAGAAAGCAGAAGTGGAAAGAATGTCTGTGAGAATTTGAGACTGGTAAGGAAGGGGAAGGGGTAGAGTCTCTGTAGACATTGCGAAAAAGTGTAAAAGGGATATGTCAACCACTACTGTGGATACGAAAATTTAAAGTTAAAACTACTGTTCCCCATTGGTTGGAATTGCTAGGTAAGTAGAAATGGTTTTCGTGTGCCTTACATTTTGATTTACCGACTCGTTCGAAGACATCGATATTTTGTTACAGGGCTATCACGCGCGGCTTTCTTGTGTCGCGCATTTAAAAAAGCGAGTCGCGGAACGATGATACATTTTAGAACCTGACAATCGGTTCAAATTCGCTGAAATTCTGACTGATCATAATTTTTCTGTATCATTTCTGTCCACAATTAGTGAAATACGAAAGGAACAAATAGCTGTTAGCAATTGAAGATGGCCCACCTCAGAAGTAACCTAAAACGTAAAGGATTGCAGCAATATTATCACAGTAATAGAGCAAGCTATTCAAGAGGTTGCTTCTTTAATTGTAGTTTCCTGAACCCTTGCTTTCAATAAAAGAATTCATTAAACAATGCAAAACGTAATAAATGTCTTATGGTTATATAGTCGTAAACAAAATCAAGACTGCATTTATTAAAAAAGCCAAACTTCTTCTGGTTTAGTTATGGCAATACATTGAATAAATTACGTCTTACGATCAAATATTATAAAAAGTTGGTTTTTTCCTACTGTCTCATTCCACCACTGAAACACTATTGTTGTATTGTTGTATGTACATAGAAAGTTTGAATGTCAATTAACAAGTTGCGCAAGAGAATTTTTACAAGACAAAATAGAATGGGTTGATTTACATTGTCTGTTCTGTTTGTTTCAAAAAAGGGGGATGACATTCAATCAACGCTCCATTTCCGGAAACTCATTATACTGTTAGTTATTGCCTTATTTTTAAAGACGATATGTTTTCTCGTTTTCTAATTTAGGTATGTGATACGTTGACTGTACTGTGGGAAGTTGCACTGTGTTTGTAACAATTTGTCCCCATTAAAGAAATTACACATTATATTATCAAGATGCACAGGTAATTAACAGCCTGTAGTTGCGAAGCAATACATTTTCTTACGGTATTACCCTTCCAAAAATACCTTATAATGGTTACTCGATGAACGTAACACGAGCACGGACAGTGTTATCGCAGCAGAGTAACTATTACTATGCTTTTTTATGACCGACTCTTAACTCTATATCATTACCCCTTGCATATCTCTAACAAATATTACCCACACGTACATTAAACAGCGAATTCCCATAAGCAAAGTGGCAATATATTTGACTTGTGATCAATATAGATGAGTTTATTATCCTACTTAATCAACTTGACAGTCGTGAATCAAATACAATCGAGTCGATAATACATAAAAGAAAGATATAAATAGCATATCGTAACTAAACTGGATTGTATACTTTGTTTCCTTATCATTATTTCCAGCTGACATACCAGACACGACTAGGATCATGAGGAAGCTCAATGATATCTTCAGTCTTACTAAATCCAGTCTCCTTTAGCAATTTTACAACATTCTCTGTTCCCCATGTCATTCCTAAACCTGGACCCCCTTCAGCCAAAGACACAGACGTACAGTGGATGGTACTAACTGCATAGACTCCCACACCAAAGATTTGATTTTTGTTCTTCTCAAGCTCATGTGAAAAACTAGCATCCTGCATAACGAACACTCCATCAGCCTTCAACGCACCATGAATACGCTTCAATGCACCTGCTGGATCGGCTAGATCATGTATAGTGTGAATTGTGAGGACGACATCGTATTCTCCGACTTCTTGCAGCTGAGCGATATCTTGTACACGGAAGGAAATATTAGTGAGCCCGGAGGAAGCTACATCAGCGTTGGCAGCGGCTATAAGATGTTCCGAGATATCGTATCCAACAAAAGTACTATTAGGGAAGGTTTTGGCAAGGTCAAGAATAATTTTGCCGCGTCCGCAACCGACGTCGACCAGTTTGCTTCCACTCTTGAGTTTGTCATGCAATTGAGGCAGACCGGGGAGAACGACGCTGTGCAGCACGGATCCAACAGCTAGGTGAGTTTCGTCAACCATCAATTCGTGGAACCGGGTAAACGCTTCTTCTCGCAATCCGCCACCGTTCTTGAAGCATTGTATAATACCATCTTCAACTGATCCCAATATCGGGATATATTGCGAATAGATCGAATAATTTTCAGCCCCGAACGCTCTGGTAAGATATGGCGCATGTTCTTTGGGAAGCCTATAAGTCTTTGCTTCGCTGTTGTATTCGACGATTTCTCCGATTACCACGGCTCCTAGCCATTCCCTAACATAGCGCTCGTTGAGGTTGGCTTTTGAAGCGAGTGCTTGCGACGTGACAAATTCCGGGTAGAATCCTGCAAGTGTGTCAAAGAGACCGGTTCGGTAACCGATGGATATCATTAAACAGAGCGCACCGTGATTGAGCGTCTGGACGAGCTTCTGCATGAACGCTTGGGCTTTCTCGGACGGTGCGGCGGACATCTTGATAGTAACGTTTAATGGATTTGCTTCGAGTGTTAGTTTGCTTTGGGCGTTATCTGCTTCGAGCGTGTCTTTTCAGCATGGACGATGGGGGCTTTATTTATAAGCGTCGTCCCTTGTGTTATTTGTCTAATATCACCTTACAACTTGACTCGTTACAACGCGCCATATGTCCAAGTTTTCATGTACCATAGTGTTAATTCTGCCACTATCGTTTGCTATCTTTGGTTTGTCAGCCAAATGTATGGTTTACTACATTTGGTAATATTCTAGTCGTACCTCTAGGAGTTTGATTCTGTATGGTAAACCTTTATTGGAGACATTGAAACAATAGGCAATCCATTGATTTTTGTCTGAATAACAATTAGACTTATTAATCCCATAGTTGTCATACGTTGGCCTGAACACACGCGAATTGTAATGCCAAGCTGCTCTGGCGTTTTTGCGCTATTTATGGATTGAACGCTAGACGTGCTTTGTTGATTCGCACATAATACACTGACCAGTGTACAGTTTTGTGCGATGGTCGGACAGATTCCTTTATCGGAATACAAGGCAAGTACTGAATTGTTACATCTGCCAACATATTTACAATCATGGGGATTGAATTTCATTCGCAGCACATATTGCGGATTAAGAGAGGAAGTAAAAATATTACTCGAATATTTGAGGGGAAGAAAAATCGCTTGTAATAAACTATGCTGATGCAAAAGTTTCAGTAAAGATAGAAACCGTGGAAACTTTACATGTTTATAATTCTTTGACACGCTTATGACAACAAGTATTTCCCACAAAAATTCATTTTTCTAATAACCATAACACTCGCTATTGTATGATACAAACAAGTATGTGATTGTGGTTACAAAAATTCATTTTTCTAATAACCATAACACTCGCTAATATTGACAATTATAGCAATGATTGACACGGATTATCTATCGAGTAATAAAATCAGGACAATTTACGCATTAACAAACACACATTCCATAAATGATTAAACATATTTTACTATGGACAGTCGATCTCTCATATCACATTTGCACACATTCCCACAGTCATACTCATAGCGTTTGTGTAGCCATGCCCCTGGATACATGTGCGATTAATCGAATTTTGTTTAGTATGGATCCAAAGCATACTCTGACAGGGTTTTTATAGTATGTATCGAAAACTATACTTACCTAATATCTATTATAGCTCCGAAAACCGAAATTGTCTGGGTATAATTTACCGCTCTATCCAATGAGAGAAGAAAAAAGGAAACTTTCAAAATGTATGATGTTATATCTGAAGAAACGGGTCTCAGTTCGGCCACAATTGAAGGATCTACAGGGTTAATTACAGCAATACCTGGAGCTGCCGCTATTGTATTATTGGTTTTGGGAATCTGGTTTTGTCGTAGACGTAAATACAAGACATATCGACGACCGGCTACGCGTACTGAAACAAAAGATGCGATTGGCTATATTTTTAAGATGCGAAGGTAATGTAAGTCTTTTCATACCCAATAATAGCATGACACCCTCAATAGGAGGAATTGGAGAAGACCAATTTAATGCAGGACATTCGGTAGCTGACAGTATTGCAGAAGTTCCCGCAACATCAACAGACTCGCGCCATGCATTGATTGTGGTTCCTACACCAATCACTAAGGTTGATATTCGAAAGTTGGACGCTGCACTATAAATACCATACAGGTCGGCGATCCGATACAACATTGGCACCGAAGGTTCGACTTTGGCCCCGCTAATTCTGTTGGGAATTACGGAGCATCCTAAACCAAGGGGGTTTAAGTGAGATTGTTAGTGTAACAGATATTTAAGCGCCATATGCCCCACCTACTTGGCTCGCCATCTTAGAGTAGTGATAAAAATTGTTGTAGTTTGTTGAGCAAATAATAATTTATAATATTCACATCAAATAAAATACTACGAAATTTATCGTCTACGATTGTTGATTGGATTCATTCACTAGGACGATTCCTTAATTAGACGCGTCGAATTTTATAATTGATACATTTTTCGGCTAAGGATTATTATTAGTTGTTGTTCTAATGATAGTTCTATTCTTGTAATGCATATTCAAACATCCTAAAATCTGTTTCAGCTTTCAATCTTAACCTTGGCATTCTCTGCCTCAAGATTATAATGACTCACAACTCTGATGACATGTTTGGATATAGAAAGCAAAATTTATTTCTGATAAGCCAACAATGTGAATTAACATCAGATACATGATCTAGCATAACTACAGTAATTCATGTGCAGAATATTCTAATTTCTTTAATCCGAGAAGTTTAACTGAAAGATGTGATGCATAGATGATTGCAACCAAAAAAATTAACTATTTTATTTATCGATTCCTAATTCGTCGTAATAAGCGTGTGTTTATCTTCACAATGCATCATAAAATTATAGTCATTATCGGACATTTGATTTCTGACTCGTTTGAATTTTCTGGTCCAATTGAAGATACCGACATTTTTGACCGATTTGAGCTTCCCAAACCTGCTTTTTCCGACTCTTGTGAACTTGAATCCTGTAAATAATCACAAAAATATAATAAACGACAAGCATAAAAAGTAGTAATGAGATAAAACAACAAGGTAAAACAGCACCATCGCCAATGTCTCTCCACCCCACGAACAGCGCCTCATACCTCTCCTATATACATGAATTTCTTTGTTCACAGGATCTATCAACCATACAACTTGTACGCTCGATTCTGATGCAAAATAAACAGTTTTCGGAAATTTGAACTTTTTGATATGTCTGCAACTTCAACAACGAATATCAGGGAGAAAGGTACACCTCGAAAAGTTTAGTGTTGCTGTTTAGTCAACCCATTATATACTGTACTTTTCGACTTAAATTCCTCTATAGCACCGGTCGAGGTCAGGTGTTAGGCATATTTACGTGTAGCGTTTTTGGAGTAAAAGAATAAAGGGAGTGTAAGAGGAGGGAGTGTAAAGGAAGTACTTTAGGTGCGTGACTTTGTTATTTATTATTGTAGTCAACCTTATGGTAGTAAAAAAATTCTAGAAATTTCTTTTTAATCTCTCGATCTTTATGTTGTGAGCGGTCACTTTCTCCACAATAATAATCAATATTACCGTTTGTTAAAAAAATCCTCCAATCACTGGAAAAACCCGGTCTCAGGTGGACTGCCTCTAAATATTACTCCGACCAACTTGCGTTTTATCCTCTCCATCATCATCTTGAGAACATTCCATTGTAGTGGGATCGAACTTGTCTCCACTCTCGACGCAAAACCATGCTTGCCAAGTACAGCATATACTTGCTGACATGGTATAATTCGAATAGGAGCAAACCTTTGAATAAAACTCGTATAACTGTAAATAAGCCCGTTGAATTACTAGTTTATTCAAAAAGAGTTTGAGTCTCTAAATTATAAGAAATGCAATAATATTAATATTGTAAATTAACTTTATTTGTACCAACGTGCAACCATACCTGCAGCTGAATCCATATCATAGCTATTTCTCTCGAGGCGTGATAAGGGTTTTACATCATTATGATATCTGGTCTTCCAAATAAACTCCTTAATATCATCCCGAATCGTCTCTGCATCTGGACGCTTATCAGGATCAGCATCACAACACCGCTCGGCAAGCTTCTTGTATTCCTCTGGTGCGGAATCAGGCATCGATGGTCGTAGTCCGTCCATAATATCGCATGCTAAATCTCTATCGAACTGCCTATCTCTAAAAGGTGGTTCACCAGTAGCAATCAAATGCATAATAATACCAAAAGAATACACATCTGATTCTTGAGTAAATTTGCGAGTATGGAAGACTTCCGGTGC